GGTTGAGTTGGAAGGGTCCTTAAAGATCATACAGCCATAGGATGGTTGGGTTGGAAGGGTCCTTAAAGATCATACAGCCATAGGATGGTTGGGTTGGAATGGTCCTTAAAGATCATACAGTCATAGGATGGTTGAGTTGGAAGGGTCCTCAAAGATCACTGAATTATGGAATGGCAACTGCTCCTCTCTGCCCTGTCACAGTTTGGGAATACCAATCAAAAAAAAATCATAAAACCATGACATACCCTCACCCCAGCACCTCTACAACACACAGCTGCCTAAGAAGCAAAGGGTGCACACAACCGTTCCTATTTATATCACATTTTTCATCGCTGGAATCCAAAACACACTCCTCAGCATGCTGAAAGCACACAGCACCAATACCTCATGCATCGGAATGAAACACTCAGGAGCTTTACTTTAAACAGGAGTTCCTGGAAAACAAAAGGGGTTTTCTTGTTGACTCTGGAACCTCAGATGTCAGCAGCAGAAGCACTGGTACTGGGTCCCTCTTGCCGGGAGGGCACAAAGTGCACGGAGAAAGGCTTAACCAGGGACTGCTCTCCTCTCCTTTCACAGGATCCAGCAGGAATCCTGCTGAACCCTGAGGTATCCCAGGAAAAAGGTCGCTGCTTCATTTCAGAACAGAAAGCCCAAACCTGTTGGCAAGCACCTTAATTTTGGCATGCCACGAGCCAAGACGAAGCGGAGTTACCTTGCAGCAGCAGCAACACACGACGTCGTCCTCAGGGTGTGCTTCCAGGCTTATCTCTGCTTATCTCACACTATTCCAATGCTCTGTTTGCAAAACGCTGTTTGTCCCAGGCAGGGAAAGAGCACAGTGTCACCAGGTCAGCAGCAGAGTCCCTGCAAATGTCACCACGTCACGGAGCCACGTGCTGCCCCGAGCTGCTCTCCGTTTCACTCGCTACACCCGTGCCCATTTCTACAGCAATGAAAAGCATTTCCGTGTGCGTGCCGACTCCACTCATGCACTTTTCCCAAAAACAATGTAATAAAGGATGGCCAAAAGTTGTCTTTGTACTGCGGGAAAGCTCTCAGTTGGGGGAAAAAAGCAGGATAACAACCTGACAGAGTGGATTTTTGCAAAATAAGTAATACAGCTTCTGAGCATTCTTTATGCACTGCGTTTCCTAAGCATCCTCGTTTTCCTCCCCAGAACACACCCAGGAACAAAATTGCTTTCTGAAGGCGTCCAGCACACAGCAGAAGCACTGCAGCAATTCAGTGCTTCAAGGCTGTCAGCAGAAAGGGTCAGTTGAGAAATGCCCTCAAATACAGCTATATATTGCTAATTTTTGACCTCATGCTTTTTGTGCTCCCTGCAGAATCACCGCCTCACATTCCTCAGCCTCATTTTCCTGCTCGCTGCCTTCTCCCATTTCAGTGCATGGGTTGACCTGGCAGCCCACGCTGATTTCTACTGGATTCAGCTAACAGAACAGGAGAAAAAAGAAGGAATTAACTCAATTATGGCTGAAAGTGAAGCGTTTCAGCAGGATTATCACTAAGCAAAGCAGACATTTCCATGCCCTGCGCCACTGTAACTCTGTACAGCCTTTGGAGTGACTTTCTTCCTTCAGTCACGTTATTCCCAGCACTGCCTGCAACTTCCATCCCTGTTACTCAACCAAAATTCGGATTCTGGCTCCTTCCAGGCAGCCAGAAGCACAGCATCTCCTGAAATCAGACTCCACCAGGAGATGGGCCCAGGGGTGTTGTGTGCAATAAAAGCACATGGCCCCCAGCAATGAGATTTAACGAAGCAGTGTTCATCCAGCCGTGCTCATTAGGAGAATGCAGCCTCGGGGGAACACTTAACAGCCTGGCAGAAGTGGAAGAACTTGGAAAGCAGAGAGCAGCGCTCAAGGAACGCAGAATGGAGTGCAGGACTCCCACAAAATCCCTCCACTCCATCACACAGAATTCATACACATTCATGAGGTATGTTCCAAAAGTATCACAGAAACACAGCGTGGAATGGTTGGGTTGGAAGGGACATTAGAGATCATAAAGACACAGAATGGTTGGGTTGGAAGGATCATAAGGATCACAGAGCCATGGAAGGTTGGTTTGGAAGGGTCCTTAAAGATCACAGAGCCATAGAATGGTTGAGTTGGAAGGGTCCTTAAAGACAGCAGAGCCATGGAAGGTTGGGTTAGAAGGGTCCTTAAAGATCACAGAGCCATGGGATGGTTGGGTTGGAAGGGTCCTTAAAGATCACAGAACCATGGAAGGTTGGGATGGAAGGGTCCTTAAAGATCACAGAGCCATG